TGGCTGTGGGCTGGGGCCCCCTGGCTGCCCAGTCGCTGACATAGGGGGTTGTTCTAGGACAGGGATGGGCAGAAATTTTCGCAGGGGGGACGCCGAAAGTGGCGGGGCTGGGTCCCAGCCTCCCCCTAGAGATGCCTGGGGCTGGAGGTTTTGAATGAAAAAGACAGCAAAGGGCTCGTGGGCTCAGTCCTGCTGCTACTGCATTGCCTGGCAGCCACCCAGGGTTACTGCACCTGTTTAACGGACTTATATCTCCGCTCCCTGCCAGGGTAACAGCACAACCAGGAGCTCTGAGCCATTCAAATAGACTCCTGCTGCCTGAGCTCCGACCTGAAAATTCGGTAGCATTGGCAGCAAGATATGAATAGAAAGCAGCCAGGTGCAGTCTGTGGGCCAGATCAGAGAACTATGTGGGCACATCTTGCCCAGCCCTGTTCTAGAAGGTGTTGCTTCCCACTGCCATTTATAGCTTTAGCCACCAACGAATTGGTATGGGGTGTATAAACCAGAACTCCGCTCCTCCAGCTGGCACAGTATTGCTTATCACAAGGTTGCTCAATACACCACCTGCGGTGGGAGCAAAAACTAAAAAGTAATCAATATAATGGTCTTCTGTTGATATGCAGTAGTAGTTAAATTCCTGGACTGTCATTGCTTATTAAAAGTGCTGTCATGTGGGTGGAAATCAGGTAAATATTGCATTTTATTAATATCAGCAGAACTGACTTAAATGGGGCCTGTGTGTTGTGTAGTCTTGCCTTAATCTTTATATTCATGCCCATCTGTGTGAAAGACACTATTTGCATATGTTTGCATGAATATGCAACTACACTTAAGTTGCAGCCTTTGGTATGTGCTATGAGTATCATTGTGGGCCTTGGGGCTTCCAAAGTTGAGTAGTCCTGGCTGATCTGGTCTTTGGTCCAATTATGAAGGTTCACTGGGCATAAGTCTTTTTGATCTGAGGTTTCATTTGTTACCTCCTCCTCTGTTTCTGAGTATCCTGGTATACATGATTGTGGTGCTTTTGAACTTGGTGACCTGTGGGGCTTGTGATCTCTGTACTGTCCACAGGTGCCAATGGAGCCAGTTTGGTAGGAATGCATATAGTCTGTCAGCAGAGACGGTACCTTGAGATTCCCTTGTTGTGGTCTGCCCGAGGTCTGATGTAGGTATTGGGAATTTCTCTATTACAATTAATTTGAGTCAAAGGTTTCTATCTCTTTGCCCTATTCTTTAGGTTGTTGTACTGTGGGACACAATTAGTATACCTCCACAATTAGTATTGCATCTTTTCAAGAAGTGAACCAAGAATACCTGAGACATCCTTGTGGAAAACTGTGGGACCCAAACTTTTATTAAACTAATTGTAACCAAGTAATAAATCATGAATAAACAAGGCTAAAGTAAACTTAACAACTCTAATTCTGTTTTAGGTTAACAGTGACATCGCTCATGGACTCTGTCTCAAGCTGAGGATGGTCAAGAAGGAGCATATTGCATGCGGCACCATCAGTGCTGGGAGACTGCCACTGCAAATGTGCACCTTGCCCAGACACTGCTATTGAAAACCTCAGATTAACACTGACACTTGATATGGAGCACCCTCATGGACTGCATTTGAAGAAATGTAGATCATCACCTATAATGCTAGTAGCCATCCCTTAGCATCAGCTGCTGAGGGTGGCCATGCCTCCTCATTGCAGTGTTCCTGGATGTGTCCTACAGTAGGAGAATTAGTAGTCTAGACAGGGGCTGGACTTTACCCCTTCCCTTCCTAGTGGGGCAGGGGAGAATCAGTTCCCCAAGGCTCAGCCCTTCTGTAAGGTAGGGCCACCAGTGTCAGTCTCCCTGGGCTCCAAGCAGAGCTGGACAATCAATAAACTGGACCCCAGTCTCTCAACCAGACAGGACAATGGTCAACATGAGTCAGCTTCTCTAACCTCACGCAGGGTGGCATGGTGTGCACTGGTCTCTCTGACAGAACCAGTTCTAAGAATAGTCAAGTTCCCTGGCCTTCAGGTACGCTTGGAGTAGTTAGTAATCCGGGCTCTGCGCTCCTTGTCAGACAGCCCCGTTCAATAATAGCTTGGGTTCTCTGGCCTTCACAGGACAGGAATGAATACCACTGCAATGTACTGGCTCAGATAAGAGGTTGTGTGATGTAGCACAGTCTCTCCCTCCACATAAGAGGGGAATACCACCACCCCAGGGTTGAGTGGGAACATGGGACCACCCAACTCCACCCCATCCCAATGTAGGTTCTGTATCAGTGGTGGGTAGTCCACCACTGATCCTGGGTCAGCAGGATCCAGAGGTTGAGGGTTCCACCCTCCCCGCCCCCCGAGGGACATACATTAGCTAGCAGGGCGTAAATCAGTAGCAATCTTCTTTACTTGCTTTTCTTGACAAAATAGTCACTGGTAAGACTAGGACAAGTGTTGCCTGTTTTGTAAGAATAAAATAGTATTTTCTGGTATAAAGTCAAACTTTTCAGTAGTTAGGTGCTGAGAATGTTGACAGTAATTCTCATATTAAAAACTCAGTCAACAATTTTTTTTTAAAATTCCTTCCTTCCGACATCCAGCTCATAGACGGTCATGATATGCCAAGAAAACGTGTCAAATTATCTAGCAAACACAGGGGGGTGGTACAGTGAAAGATTATCCAGGAGAGGCATGAAACATCCTAAGGAGACATAAGAAGGCAAAGTTTTTTTCTGTATAGCTAAAGAAAATTATATCAGGCAAGTTTAATCAACTACCTATTTTTTACTTTATATTTATAGGGATATTTAGCCTCAGTCACATTTTCAAATAGCAATTGTTTAACTGCATATATACAAGTACACATCTTTGTGCACAGACCATAATTGTGCATACAAACTGGCTAACAGAACAAGCAGATATTGAAGAGGCTATCAGCAAAACATTAAAACTATTACATTTAAGAAGTGCAATATGCGGCTCTATGTTCATTTGAATGTTTGCAAATAGAAAATGAAGTGTGTTACTAATGAAACTGGCTTCAGATAGATAAGCAAATGGGTGAACAAACTCCTATTTACTTCCATGTGAGTTGGCTCAGGCCTTCAGTCTTAAAGCAGTGTTTTAATAGGTCATTTCAGGGTCTTAACATTTTAATCCTAGTTACAGAATGTATCCAAATGGAGACTGTATCCTCCACTATAATTTAAATACAAGTACCCCTGTGAACAAAAAAAAGTTGAAGCATATAAATACTGTAATTGACACCTAAATATTTTGAAACCTTTCAATCAAATTAAATAACCCCCTAAAGAATACTCTGGGAATTCACAGGTCTTAATTTACTTCCTCTGGTATTTAATGATCAGTTATTCTATTACCCCAAATTATTGTAGGCATCTAGATAGCCATTTTAACCTGCATTCTAAAGCCAAATTTTACATACAGTTAGATACTTTCTCAAGCAAAGACTATGTCTTAATGTCAGCCTCAGATAACTAAGAAAAATTAGCTTGTGAAAACAGGAAGTTACACCACACTATTTTACAGCTTGTATTATGTTAAGTGCCTGTTAGAATTAAGTAGAGAGATGCTAGGCCAGAGATCCCAATTTTCCCTGTTACTTTTAATTTTTAGTTTGTCTTTAAACTTGACACATCACTCTACTCAAGTTACTTTCTAGATAACACACTGACTGCTATGGGAAGATAGCATTCATACATACTAGTGCAAAGATGATGTAACCTCAAAATGCAGTGCTTTGTTTTGAGCAAGAGCTGTGTTAAATGTTTAATATTTTGTTTTACTGTGGTTTCTCCTTCCCTCCCCCAGGAAAATTCAGCATTAGTGATTGTGCTATCCTATAGAGATTTGATTATATAGTAATCCCAGTTTTGTAAAACAAATTCCTATAGAAAAAAGAGCTTCTAACACGTGACTCCTCAGTAAAATAGTTATGCTGCAGACCAAAATTCCCACCAGCTGTGAAACATCCCAGGTTCAAATCAATTCTACTGCAGATTCATTAACATTCAGTATTGTGCTCCCTAGACTACGTTTGAAAGTGTTGGGACAAGATTCTAAAAGGAGGAGGAAATCCACACAGCAATAGAGTTTTCATGAATACTGACTACAGCTGAACTGTACATACAAATAAGGTACTCATACATACAAATATGAAGATGCCCAATTGTCTCTTCTTACTAATGTACTCCTCAAAACAGCACACCCTATTCATCTCTTACCACGTGCTGCCATTAGTGTAACTCATTTGGCCATACACATACAAATTAATTATTGAGTTTGATTCTTTGATCCATTTTCATATAGTTAGTAAAGTGTCAAATTAACCAGTCACTTTAAATGATAAATGTATAATAGCATTTATGTATTGATATGTATGCTTCATAGTACCAAACCAGCAATAAACTACTATTGACAGCAACCCTAAAATAATTCTCTTCCCCCTTCCCCGGCTGATAATTTTACTAACATCTTAGCCTCTGCTCTAACCATTAGACATGCTGTCATATATATATATATATATGAATGAAAAGAGAATGTGTAATAGGTATATTAAAAAAAATTTCAAACTTGGATTGAGATGTATGTTTTTGGTTGTATTAGTCTGAATTATTCTATACCTTTCTCAGAATGGAAAGGTAATTTAGAATCTAACCCTGTATTTCCTGTACATACACACATCCCTTTAGAGTTTGTGGAATTTAAGATGAGCAAGGAATGTAAAATCATTTCTTAATTCACCTGAATTGGCTATCCTGTCAGATATTTGAATTGAGTAGTTTATTACTTTTTATATTGCCTGCATCTCCTAATTGCAGTTGATTTGTGTATTTTTATTTAATACTTGCCATATTGCCTCTATTTTACTCTTCTCTGTAGTTAATTCAAGTCTCTTGCTTACTTCAGTGGAAGCTTGAGAGAGTCCTGTGAGGAACTCCCCGAATTCAGCATATGGAAAGGCTTGAGAGATCAGGAAAACAAAGTTATTGACACATACGTGTGTAGTGAAATGAACCTCAGCTCCAAAGTACCTGTGACATGAGCCTCAGCTTTGGGATTTTGGTTCCCACAGCTATGAGAAGAATCTTGCATTCATAGCTGCTTAGAGATACACTCAACCCTGCTTCCTCCATGGAACAAGAGAAAAACCCAGTAAGAACCCAGACTAGAGTAGAAGGGGGAATGATGGCTTCAGAATGGAAGGTAAGGACATCCACAGAACCAGCCTTCAGCTGAAAAGAGGTTTAGCAGGGAAAACTCCGTATTTGGATGCTTCATAGCAAAAAGTATTGAGGCAGAATGGAAAAAATGATTTTTATGGACACCTTCTACGGAAGGGTATGGGACTTGTGTCTCTGGGCATTTCGTTCCATAAAAGCTTTGATCTTTCACTCCCATTCACAAAGAAGAAAACTTAAAATGTAGGGTTAAATGAGCCATTGTATACACAGAACACAGCAACTTTTATATTTTGCTACCAGGCAAATGCAGTACAACAAAAACATTAAACAGCCCAAAAAGTAAAGACTGAATTATAATTTTATGATAAAAATTAGCATGAGATATGAAGTTGAAGTGATCTTGACAAACATTCTATCCCCTGAATGTGGTCATTTTCTATTAGTCTTTGGCTAAAATTTCTTTTGATATACAGTATAAGAAATGTATGAAGTAATGAATTTTAGGCTATACATATACACACGCAATGGAAACTGGGGACTTGACCCCTTTGAAAATTCCAGCCTACATGTTTAATGTAGACATTTGATGAAAGGAAGTACTAGTCTTAAAACATAACATCTTTAAAGAAGCAGTGAGTAGAATTACATTATCTTAGTTTTCTCTTTTTCCTGAGCAGAAAACATAAGTTGATGACAAACATGATGAGATCAGCTCATATATCACTGTCAGTGGATAAGATCTGGACGCGATGAAACAGTTCAAGTATTGGGGGGGCAAGCATCACTGGTGAAAGATCAAAGAGAAATTCTGGCAAGAACTGCACATACACCTTCAGCAGCAAAGCTTATCTCAATTTGGAGCAAGATCATCAGCTCCCTGTAATCCAAACAAACTGCTGTATTCATTGGTCATCTCCATTTTTCTGTGTGCGCGCGAGAGATATGGACCCTTCTAGCAGAACTTAGTGCAGATGAGAAACTTCCATACATTCCTGGACATTTACTGCTTTGATCATATCACTAATAAATAGGTCTGCAACATCACCCACTGCACTGGATCTTATGAAGACCTCCTGTTGATGGTGAAGAAGCACAAGCTGAAGTGGTATGGCTATAACACAAGATCATCTGGCCTATCCAATATCCTTCAAGGGACAGTAAAGGGGAGGAGGAGAAGAAGAGGTAGAATAAGAGCTGGATTGACAACATAAGAGTGGACAGGAATGAATTGTGTGGAGACTCAAGCATTGGTACTCAATTATCAGAGATGGAGACAATTGGTTGATTTCTCATCAGTGATGGTGCCCCCAATGACCAATGCAGTTATGTAAGTGATAATGTTGTTCCTATTGGATTTTGCATTTGTAATAAGAATATTTGGAATTGTAAGTAAAATATAAGGAACAAGTAGAAATTTCAAGTTTTAAATTTTGGGGGTTTTTTTATTTCAAAGTCATAAATAACAGTGATTTTGTTTTTACCATGTAATGGTTCTCCAACATGCTCCTCCCAGAACAAGTTATGATGGCACAGTACCAGCTCCAAAAAGACTTCAAGTAAATCTTAAGATGACAACTCTAATAAAATCCTTGGCTGGCAGTTGGATCCTCTTCACTTTTTAGGAAAACAGAAAAGCAATTAATGCCCCCAATTGCTGATTATCATTTATCTTCCTCTCATAGCAATTTTGTCAATTGTGTTTTATAGGCCACAGGAAAGATTCTTAGCAGCATGAAATAGGCCTAACCTGCTTCTCAGTCTTTTTATATACACAAGCACAGCAGCATATTCTCTCATATAAAATCACAAAAAGGGGAAAAAAACAACAACTCAGTGGCAGTGTGTCCATAGAGGTTTCACATAAAAGTTTACTAATGTCCATGTTTTCAATTCTCCACAGATAAAATGTTTGCAAATACATTAGTAGTAGTCCACAAACATTTTAAATACTTTACACAAGGATTCAGTAAACAATCAACATTAATAAATAGCATTTCCTCCTTCAAAAAGTCAATTTTTGAAGAAAAATAGAACATTATATTTGGCTTGCACACAATTGTGCATTTTGAAAGGGTCAGGTTGAATGTTAAAACCTTGAAAATGAGCACCTGCCCTTATCTACGTGTTTTACCTAGTAAACAAATACAAACATCATGGCTTTCTATTAAAATGGTCAAATAATCTATTAAGAGCAGGAGTCCATGGTAGAAGGACTGCATTAAAATCCATTGCTTCTGATTTCGTCTAGCAATCTAATTAAAAATAAAATATATTTTCTTCAAACTTAAATTGAAGATCGTTTTGTGCTGCTGTCTTGTGAGCCCAGAAGCTTTATCCAAAATTAACCTAATTTCTGAAGTAAATGGATAGCCTGTATTGCAATTTCAGAGTTCCTCATGATTCTTGTTGGGTCCTCTTCTGTGAGGATTTTCCCTGATTCATGTATTTATTGGAAAGACTACCTAAACAGAAAAAAAGTGTCACATTATTGAAGCTGAGACCAAATAGAAAAGCAATCAACCTGAACACAAGATTTTGGAAGCACAGCCTGGTTTTAAATGTGGTCTACATTGCACGTTTCATCGGAGTGGGAAAGACAAACTGGACAAACTTGATCTGACAGATTAGATTCAACCATGATACACAAAATTAATGCCTCACTCAACCTCTCACTTTCAGAGTTGGGAAACACTCCCAAGACACACAAAAAGATTCAAGTAGGCAGAAACGGGGATGGAAGGGAAAGGAGCGGATACAAATAAAATGCTGTACTCTGCTGTCAAACCCTCTCCCCTGCCCTCCCATAAAAGCCTACTGATGGTGAATAAAAGAGCATCTCCACAGTTGACAGCAAAAAGTTGCTGCCATCCAGAAACTGAATGGGCTTGCTACTAAGGAAGGAAATGCTGGAAACTACATTCTCTGGCTGCAGGCCTGTAACTTACCTGCAGGCAGGACAGCAGAAGGGGCTGCAGCCTGACTGCACTGTACTTTCTGTGCTCTCTGGGATAAGGACTCAGCCCATCCCCCTGCTTCCATCCCTGGCTGCACCCCATAACAAGCTATAGCCTGAAGAGCACAGGAGCTGGCTTGTAACTGGCTACACTCCTCTCCCCTACAAGCTCACAACTCCTTACCTCCTGTGCAATGCCCATGTGCAGGCATGTTTATGGGCTTGCAGTACCAGTCACCAACCCACTGATCATGATGGACTGGTTGATCCTGGAGCCTCAGCCTGTGAATCACGATCTCCAGGCCATCACAACAGGGCCCATGTCCGCAGTTCCCACTAGCCAGCTCCTGGCCAAAGTGAGCTCTGAGGACAGTGCTGGGAATGGGGCAGCGTGTGAAGATGTGCTGTCACCCTATTCCCCAGGGGAGCACAGAGATAAATAAGCCTGCAGCTGATTGCTTCTGGGATCAGCAAGAAGCCATGACTGACAGGCAACTTGTCTGAGCCCTACTGCACTGGCAGTTGGGAGCGGCCTGTGATAAATGCCTGCTCCCAGCTGGAGCCTGCACCTTGTACCCTGTCCCAACCCTGACTCCCCCACTTCCACAGCCAGCATCCTACAGTCCCACCTGCACCCCAAAACTGTACCCCAGCCTGGATCCCCCATCCCAGAGTCAGTACCCCATATCTCCTCCTGTATACTAACACTGCCCCCAGAAGCCCCCTGCCAGAGCCAGCACCTCCTTCTCTACCCACCTCCTGGACCCCAACACTCTGCCCCAACCTGGAGTCCCCTCCCGCACCTAAATTCTCTCTCGGAGCTTGCACCCTCACCCCTTACTGCTCCAACCCAGCCAATGAAAGTGAGTGAGGGTGGGGGAGAGCAAGTGAAGGAAAAAGGGGAGAATGGAGTGGGTGGTGCTTCAGGGAAGGGACAGGGTAGATCCCGGGTTGCCCTGAGATTTTTTTAAGTGATCTCGGGCATAAAAATGTTGGAAACCTCGGGTTTGCAGCCAGAGAAGACGTCTTCACACTATTTTCTCCTGACTAGAGACCTGCAAACCTGCATGTGAGGAGTGTGCTCAGCTGTCCCAGTGTTGCCTTCTCTGCCTGGAACCCTGAAATCCTGACTGCAGCATGGGTTTTATTTCTAACAAAATGTTCTTGATAAGTGGCATGCTATTGCCAATATCGAACCCCCCAACATTGCAAAGTCAATGGGACAGGATTGGTTCCTGGTAAAATGTTGTTAATCAGAAGTTGTTAATATCTGAACTGCTGTTCAGTGCAGTTTTCTGTACTAACCTGTTTGGGGACTCAAGAACACTTTTCCCTTTTGTTTCTTCTTTTCATCATGTAAAAGTATTCCCTAAAAGAGGCATACAAAGATAAGCAAACATAAAATTCAACTGTTAGGCAAGGAACAGTTGATTGGACTAGAGATAAACAGTGTATTGTAGTTGAAAACTTAAGATTGTTATTTACTACTGTAAATTGCTTTTAAGTATACTTAAGAACCGTGATTCAGAAAATTATGCAGTGCTCACCTGATTGAGTCTACCAGAACGTTTAATAGCACTGGGTGAAGAAGGGGATCCACACAGACCTTCTGACTTTGATCCACCTGAGAAATTAAAATAAAGTGAAAGTTTACTGAAAAGATAAAAAAGTTACCATCTGATTATACTCCAACGACTGATCATTATCTATTTAAAAGGCATGCTCACCTCCCCATTATCATAGTATCCCAGCACATCACAGTTTTCAATGTATTTAACCACAACACCCTTGCAAAGAAGGGAACAACTATTCCACAGAACTCAAAGATCACGAAATGAGCTGCCCAAGGTCATGCAGAAAATCCAGAAGAGACCAGGAAATTAAATCTTATGATTTAAGTCAGCCCCATAAGCACTGAATCATATAGAACAGTGATTCTTGAATCTTTCCAGATTCAGAAGTCTGATTTGTCTTGCATACCACCAAGTTTCAGCTCGATTAAATACCCTTTTGCTTATAAAAATCAGACAAAAATACAGAAATGTCACAACACTCTGTTCCTGAAATTTGCATATGTTCTCATTTTTACTATATAATTGTAAATCCATTGGTGTATACATTTCAGTGTATAGGATATACAAATATAAAACAAGTCACTGTATGAAATTTTAGTGTGTACTGACTTCACTATTGCTTTTTATGTAGCTTGCTGTAAAACTAGGTAAATACCTATGAGTTGATGTACCCTCTGGAAGACATCTGCGATCCACAAGGGGGTATGCACATACCCCTAGTTGAGAACCAATTATATAGAACATTTTGGGACTACACAGAAAGCAATTTTCAAAGTACAAAAGATAGGCACCAGACATCACTGGACAACCGCATCACTGCACTTATATATTAGAAGTGACAAATTTAGTAGGTCACCTGGACTGAAAAAAAAAGCTGAAGCTACTCCCGCCACAATGAATACACCGACATCTTGAATGTAGTAAAATAGATTTTGGTCATCACTCCCTCTATATCCCACTTCAGTGGTGGCACAGTAGAAGCGAGTTTTTACTAGTGGGGAAAACTAGACAAATGTCTCTGTCAGAAGCATGATTTGAAACGTCATTTAAGATCCATTTGGCTAGAATTCCAAGACTTGATTAAAAAAATACATAGAAATAACTAGCTTTACGTCATTAACATGTACATTTGTGCCTTTTCTCTTCTGCCAAAAGGAATACAATATTGTTGGTAAGATACTTTCATGAGCTAGAAAGAATTTGCTAGAAGAATCCAAGAGGACATGCCTATTCTTATAAAAATGCAAGACAATTTTCTCACTGGGGGAAAGTGTATACTATAAAATTAAACCTAAGTTAGGATGACATTCAGCCATCAAAGTAATTATTGCAATGGCTTATGTCCACACTATCCCCCCACTGTCGGTGGTGAGCTGTCCCTGCCAGTAGCATTTACACCAACTTAAACTACATGGGGCATGACATGGGAGCAGCTCCAGCTGTGAACTGCTTGTGGAGCTGAGAGATGATACAAGTAATGCAGTAACTGTCCTAACCACATCAACCTAAATGCTATTCTTCTCCAACAGGTGGAGATATTAGGTCAGAGTAGCGGGCAACGGGACCAAACCAACATACTAAAGATCTTTGGCAACTGGCTCCTTGTTTAAGGAGCACCTGGCCTCATCCTAGGTGTTCCATGTTAGTCTGAAAATCTTCAATAGTCTTTGAGAACATAAGAATGGTCAGACTGAGTCCGACCAAACGGCCATCTTGTCCAGTGTCCTATCTTCTCACAGTGGCCAATGCTAGGTGCCCCCAGAGGGAATCAACAAATTAGGTAATTATCGAGTGATTCTCCTCCATTGCCCATTCTCAGCTTCTGACAGACAGAGGCTAGGGACACAATTCCTACCCATCCAGAAAAGCAACACTCCCCCGTGAGACAATGACAAAGGTTGCTACAAGAAATAGGTCCCTTCTGGCTATTTGAGAAGCTTCATTTCCATATCCTGTTTGAGTAGTAACCAATGTGTGCTTATTGGGAAGAGTTTAAAACCATTTATGGAGAAAGCTATCAAATGCTTAAACTTACTTGGAATATAGCAGTTTAAGATGATGAGAACAGCTCTGGGGACAGTCTTTATTGACATACAATGCACCAAATTGAATCTAACGTTTGATTATGAAGCTAACAGGAATTCTGAGGAAAGTGAAAAACAGCTGCTGCAAATAGAAAAACTCACTCTTCCTCACATGCTGACCCAGATCCTCAAAGGTATTTAAGCACCTAACCTCCAATGAGTTTCAAAAGATACTTAGACACCTAACTTAAATGACTAACTTAGGGGCCTAAATACCCTCAAGATCTGGGCCATGCAGCCTGTTTTCTGTCTCTAATGGAAATCATGTCTTAGTCTTTCTAGGTAACAGACCTTAAGTTAGCCAGAGGGATTAGAAATAAAATAAGACAACTGCATCCTGTCCCCTTGAAAAGTAATATTCAATACTTTGTACGCTCAATATATTGATGAGACACTAATTCAGACCTATGTAGTCAATCTCGTTAAATTATGGGTTCTGTTTAAGATGTGTTAGAGTGTATCTGGGTTTCATACCTGCAGCTCCTTTATACTGTGGGCACTCTTTTTTAATGTGGCCTTCTCTCCCACAGATAAAACAACGTTTTTCTCTTAAGTCTCTGTCCTCCTGCCGCTTCCACTTCTCTGCTGACTGCCTGGAAGCTTTGTCTCTTCCGGTTTCCATTGTTGCCCTCCCTAGTTTGTTTTTCTGAGGCGTACATAGTATTGTTCCTTCCTTGATTGAGGTATCTTTTTCTGTAGTTTTATTTTGGATTTCTTTGTCCTCTTTGCTTCTTTTCTCATTATTCTCTATATACCTTTGGTTTTTATTATCTTCATGATCATATCGTCGTCTCAATCTGCAGAAGCAAAAGAGTAACATAAAAGCAAACAGGCTCTCTCACTAGACAGAGAAAATAAACCTATGTCAAATAGTATAATCTTTAAGATGATTTCTGTAACTTGCAACAAAAATGAATTAATGTATCTCTCTTTTCCTAGAAGTCTATGTGGAAGAGCCAACATAAAATATGAAGTAAGTATAGTCATACTAATTTATGTATTTAAGGAAAATTTTATGCTGAAATATAATGGAAAATATGATCAGTATGTAGTAGAGAAGCACCACACAATTAAGTCAGGCTAAAAAAATAAGACATCTTTTCAACCAAGATGTTTAGTAGTAATTTTCATTGATTTCTTATCTAGCTATTCAAACCTCTTCCTATATAAAACCCCCAGAATATAAAGAAATCAGTCCAAAATTTACAAAACGTTAAGTCTTAAATGTTTTGGTTTTATATGACATAGTACATACAAAGAGACAGATCTAAGGAAAATATAAATATCCCTCAGAAATCCCTTCAACTACTTTCAATACTGAAAATGAAGGAAAAATTACACTTAAGTTTAAAGCTCAGTAGAGTGCTCATGGGTACTCAGAGATTTTAGTAATGTCTGATTGTATATACCTGGAAGTTAAAATAGCATATTTATTAGCTCCAGAAGACTTTGACTAGTGTACTGAGTCATACTGACAATCATGGAGTAACTGTGAAATGGTCATTTCCTCTAATAACTTACTATCTTTCATAAACTGGTATATCCTTCTAAAGATGTATTTATTTGGTATACTTACATATTTCAAAAGGAGTATATAAAACACTATATTCAAAGTTTTTTAAGGCTAATTTGGAATCAAAGACAATTAACTATGCATAAACAAGTTTAATCACAAAGCTTTCAACATATAAAATATTACTTAAGATGGCAATAGCTGCTGCAATCTATCCACTTATGAGAAAGACACCAAGCAAAAGGGTGGAGAGGGTCCAGAGAAGAGCAACAAGAATGATTAAAGGTCTAGAGAACATGACCTGTGAAGGAAGGCTGAAAGAATTGGGTTTGTTTAGTTTAGAAAAGAGAAGACTGAGGGGGGACATAATAGCAGTTTTCAGGTATCTAAAAGGGTGTTATAAGGAGGAGAGAGAAAACTTGTTCATTGTGGCCTCTGAGGATAGAACAAGAAGCAATGGGCTTAAACTGAAGCAAGGGAGGTTTAGGTTGGATGTTAGGAAAAAGTTACTAACTGTCAGGGTGGTTAAACACTGGAATAAATTGCCCAGGAAGGTTGTAGAATCCTCATCTGTGGAGATACTTAAGAGTAAGTTAGATAAATGTCTATCAGGGATGGTCTAGACAGTACTTGGTCCTGCTATGAGGGCAGGGGACTGGATTCGATGACCTCTCGAGGTCCCTTCCAGTCCTAGTATTCTATGATTCTATGAAAATGGCTAAAAAGAAATTTAACAGTATTAACATTTTAACAAGTGGTGGTAGTTTCAAAAATGCTTCTGTTCTAGAATCAGTCAGATACTTTCAAAAATATATCCAATGTTCTTTATTTGTGACTTCTGCTAATGTGCATTTGCGTGGGTTTTTAGTTTACGTCTCTCAGCAATATCCATTTCATTAATCAAATATAAAACTACATAATACAGAAGGGGAATACTTCAGATAATGTCTGTTTATGTTGCTGATTCACTAGCTGCCAAGACAGTGTTTTGTTGTTGAACTTTTAAAGTTCATTGAAGGTTTTCAGTCAAATTGCTTCCTTAGAAAATAGGTTTATTTCATAAGCCTCTAGCTTGGTTAGGAATAGAATAGGGATGTTAAATGGCATTTAATCAGCTACTCTATCAGTCCCGGAAGCTAACATTTAAAAAGCACAAGCGCAGCGGGGACGGATGTCACCCCATCCTAACTGCCCCTCGCCAAGGGAATATATACCACACCAATTTGCCACACAGGTCGGAGGACATCGATTTTGCATATTGGGGTGATGTGCACATCGGACTCTGGCCTCAATCAAATTAACCAACATTACTGGGGATTGGGCCAGCCCCAGAGGGTGAATGGTATGTGTGAGAATGTGCTTGTATCAAAATGAGGTTAAGAATTAGATTAATTATTCAATTTGAACATTGCTTTTGCTTTTGAACTGCTTCTAAATTGTTTGCAATAAAGTTTGTTAAAGGCATATTTTGTCTGCTGTGGATTTATCGTTCCATGTCAGCCCAGTCTATGGGACTGTTGCTGGATTGATCACAGTGCTCTCTTGTGACAGTCACTTGTCGACTATCCGATAAGCATATGCTTATCTGATAAGTGACTAGTCCTTCACATCCCTAGAATAGAATGACAGAATCACATTTTCTCTTTAAGGAATGCGCTCTTAAAGAGGCAAGCTCTTTGTGCAATAGCCCATGTCCTGCATCGTCTGATCAACATCTCATATATTTAAGCAGTTCTGCTCATAGTTTCTAACTAGAGCAGGGTGGGCAATAATTTTTTGCTGGGGATCTCTTCAGAAATTTTTGAAGTGGCCTCAGGCCACACCAGAAGGTGCATGGCTTCAAACAGAAGGGGGAGGGGCCAGGATACTTCCCTGCTTCTCTCCCCCCCCCCCCCCCCCCCACACACACAATGAATGGTCTGGGAGTGGGGGAGCACCTTTGCTCCCCCCAAAGTTTTCCCTAGACACCCATGCCTCTGGTGGTGGGCGGAGAATCTGCGTGGTCCCCCTTCTGCCCCCAGGCTAATCAGGGCTTGGAGGTAGGAGTGTGCGCGAAGTCTCCTCCTGCCCTGCCAGGAGTATGTGGCGCTTCTAAGCACCATGCACTCCTAGTAGGACAGGGGCAGGACGGAGAACTTTGCACATTCCCTCCTCTCCCAGGCCAATCAGGTCTTGGGGGCAGAGGAGCATGCAGTCTCCTCCCGCCCCCAGACTCTAATTGGCCTGGGGGCAAGCGAGTGGCAGGGTGTCCACAGGCCAGATCAACCCGATTTCCGGGCTGGATTTGGCCTGTGGAGGCCCTTTTGCTCACCCCTGAACTAGAGGGTGGGAATTCTAATTTCCATTAGAAATGTAAAAGTATCAGTAATGCAAGTAATACACTGGGCCCTCCATTATGTCGATTTTCAATATTTCTTGAATCCAGCATTTCAGAAATGTATACAACCCTCTTTGGTTCCCTCCATGGGACTCATAATACGTGTGCCAGGATTAGACTTTTTTAAGTATAGGCTGAAACAAAACATATATTCCATTCACCTCACAACTTTGTGATTTCCTCCTTAACTGCTTCAGTAGTGATTACATTACCCAATTTAGCTACAGGATATCAGGGAGATTATCATCTCAAGTCCAGGGTTCCTTAAAATATTAGGTTAGCATTTGTTTCCTACAGTAATGACTGAACCATAAACATATATACCAAGTCCAGGAAGCCCTGCTCTTGTGTGTAAATTTGGCTCTATTTCAGTGAGCAAAGACATGCTGTGGTGCCTTTTGCTTGCTTTTAGGCATTAGTTAACATCACAAAGGATTTTTTGCTGGGGACCTTTTAGATTCTATAAAGAGAAACTATTTAACAGAACATACAGGAAGTTTTCATGAGCTTTCTCTCCAGCACAAAGCTAGTCAGCTTCAGATTCAAATTCTCTCCAGTTAATGCTATTGCTCTTTTAAACCAGAACGAATGTTATCCCTAAGATAGCTGAACAGCACCATGGGTGAAATATGTATTTCATAACCCATAAAATAGTTTTGCTATACAAAAACACTAAGAGACAGCAAAACAAGTAATAAGAATGACAACCCAACAAAAATAAAGAATTCAAAGCAAAACACATTCTCCATTTAATTATATAAATTACTTTGCAATGCCAAATTACTATTTGTACTCTAGAATTACTTAAGGAATCCATGTTTAAACACAATGTAAAGAACTTTGCACCGCCAAAAACATAGAATGCTTAAAAATATGCGTACTTTCTCCGCAGAGGACAATCTTTCATGAAGTGCCCAATTTTACCGCAAATTCTACAGCATCTGTCATTTGGAGCCAGTTCACCTTCTGTCAGTACTTCTGGGTCAAAGAAGTATTCCTTAAAGGAAAAAACATTGTGTTATGCACTTTTTACTTCAAAACAAAACAAAACAAAACAAAAAAGCTTGGAAACCTAAACCAGCTATAACTAAGACTAGGTCTACACTAGGGATGTCAATGATTAACTGGGAAGCATCATCCTTACCAGGTAATGCATACCGGTTAACTAGTGGCCTGATCGGACTGGAGCAGCCAGCGGCACCAGTGGAAGGACAATACTCCAGCCTGGGCCTTAATAGTGCTGGCAGGTGGGGAACGCTCCAGCCTGACCAGAACAGTCTCCTCCTGCTTCTGAATAAGCGGTTAACTGGTTAAACATAATGTTTATTCAGTTAACTGATTAAATGGGGTTTTACATCTCTAGTCTACACTAGCACTTTTATCCAATAGGGGCAATAAACCCTGGTAAAGATACTGCCACTCATTCAGGGTGATTTTGTTTTTGCAGAAGAAAAGCTGCCTCCTGCAGGCAAAGAGCAGCTACATGGGATGCCTAATAGTGGTGCATCTGTAGTGATAGAAAGGTGTAGGCACAGCCTAAGCGTGAGGCCATATCAGTACAAGCAGCTCCCCAAAAGAGTAATGGTGAGCATGCGTTATAGAATCAGGGTCATTAACTGACCACAGCTCTACAAAGAACTCAGCATAGCTTTCTTAATCACCTACGTGACTATGAAGATTCTAGTCTGAATGAGAAAAGTTACATCTATAGTCCATTCTCTATAACAGGACTACAATTCAAGCTGTGTAACATGCTTACAGATGAAAGCTTGTTCCAACTGTTTCCCCGACACCCCGTGGCTGCTTTACTCTAGGACAGCCTATTTAACAAACACTTTTGAGATGTCTGGGGTTGCGGTTGTACAATAGAGCCCCAACCTGTTTCACATTAGTAGGCTTCCACAATACGAGTGTTAAAAAAACCAAAACAACCCATCCACAACTTACAGCAAAAGCCAAAAGAACCACCACTATGGAAATTACCACTGAAATATGAAAAGAAACTCTTGACTTGGCATGCATAAATCACCAATAAGTTCTAAACAGAGTGTAATTGTTTTCACAAGAGCCATATGTGAAGCTTCACATTAGGCAAGGTGCTTAGAAACACACTTACTCATCCTTTTCCTTGATCTTGCTATACTCTAAATACACCTACCATTTTTGAGGGATATTCTTTAGGAAATCCTTTTACTGGGGTACCAAATACCCTTCTGCCATTGATAAAAGCCTTCATTATAAAGTTTGTCACTAAGGAAAGAAAAGAAAAAGAAGTCAGTTGTCTAAATAGAATAAGATCTTCACCAGTTCTGTGGAACGCTTGTGGAACAGGTAACTTACTTTTTCTTGATAAGCCAGCTCCAAGATTATGGTTCAAATCAAAAGGATCTGTGTGAAGAAATGTGTAGATATTACTAAAGTCCATGTGAAAGCCAACTATGAACAAAACTGATGAATATGAACTCAAGGAATCCACAGTTGCTATTTCTGACGTAGAATCAATATACTGAAACTGATTTCTCCATATATTGAAAGATGATATATTCAAAAAGACAGAATCTTAGCAGTCCAGATATGAATCAAACTAATTGAAAAGTTGAAAAAGTGCAATTTTTGAAGGCATGAGCAAAAGCCCCCCCATCTTTTATCAAAAAGTCACATATGCTAGAAAAATAATGCCTGTACAGACAGTCCCGGGTTACATACAAGATAGGGACTGTAGGTTTGTTCTTAAGTTGAATTTGTTCGCAAGTCGGAACTGGCGTCCAGATTCAGCCTGGAAACCTAAACCAGCTATAACTAAGACTAGGTCTACACTAGGGATGTCAATGATTAACTGGGAAGCATCATCCTTACCAGGTAATGCATACCGGTTAACTAGTGGCCTGATCGGACTGGAGCAGCCAGCGGCACCAGTGGAAGGACAATACTCCAGCCTGGGCCTTAATAGTGCTGGCAGGTGGGGAACGCTCCAGCCTGACCAGAACAGTCTCCTCCTGCTTCTGAATAAGCGGTTAACTGGTTAAACATAATGTTTATTCAGTTAACTGATTAAATGGGGTTTTACATCTCTAGTCTACACTAGCACTTTTATCCAATAGGGGCAATAAACCCTGGTAAAGATACTGCCACTCATTCAGGGTGATTTTGTTTTTGCAGAAGAAAAGCTGCCTCCTGCAGGCAAAGAGCAGCTACATGGGATGCCTAATAGTGGTGCATCTGTAGTGATAGAAAGGTGTAGGCACAGCCTAAGCGTGAGGCCATATCAGTACAAGCAGCTCCCCAAAAGAGTAATGGTGAGCATGCGTTATAGAATCAGGGTCATTAACTGACCACAGCTCTACAAAGAACTCAGCATAGCCTTCTTAATCACCTACGTGACTATGAAGATTCTAGTCTGAATGAGAAAAGTTACATCTATAGTCCATTCTCTATAACAGGACTACAATTCAAGCTGTGTAACATGCTTACAGATGAAAGCTTGTTCCAACTGTTTCCCCGACACCCCGTGGCTGCTTTACTCTAGGACAGCCTATTTAACAAACACTTTTGAGATGTCTGGGGTTGCGGTTGTACAATAGAGCCCCAACCTGTTTCACATTAGTAGGCTTCCACAATACGAGTGTTAAAAAAACCAAAACAACCCATCCACAACTTACAGCAAAAGCCAAAAGAACCACCACTATGGAAATTACCACTGAAATATGAAAAGAAACTCTTGACTTGGCATGCATAAATCACCAATAAGTTCTAAACAGAGTGTAATTGTTTTCACAAGAGCCATATGTGAAGCTTCACATTAGGCAAGGTGCTTAGAAACACACTTACTCATCCTTTTCCTTGATCTTGCTATACTCTAAATACACCTACCATTTTTGAGGGATATTCTTTAGGAAATCCTTTTACTGGGGTACCAAATACCCTTCTGCCATTGATAAAAGCCTTCATTATAAAGTTTGTCACTAAGGAAAGAAAAGAAAAAGAAGTCAGTTGTCTAAATAGAATAAGATCTTCACCAGTTCTGTGGAACGCTTGTGGAACAGGTAACTTACTTTTTCTTGATAAGCCAGCTCCAAGATTATGGTTCAAATCAAAAGGATCTGTGTGAAGAAATGTGTAGATATTACTAAAGTCCATGTGAAAGCCAACTATGAACAAAACTGATGAATATGAACTCAAGGAATCCACAGTTGCTATTTCTGACGTAGAATCAATATACTGAAACTGATTTCTCCATATATTGAAAGATGATATATTCAAAAAGACAGAATCTTAGCAGTCCAGATATGAATCAAACTAATTGAAAAGTTGAAAAAGTGCAATTTTTGAAGGCATGAGCAAAAGCCCCCCCATCTTTTATCAAAAAGTCACATATGCTAGAAAAATAATGCCTGTACAGACAGTCCCGGGTTACATACAAGATAGGGACTGTAGGTTTGTTCTTAAGTTGAATTTGTTCGCAAGTCGGAACTGGCGTCCAGATTCAGCCGCTGCTGAAACTGACCAGCGGC